TGTTGGTGACCGGGAATTCGAACCTTAGTGCATATATGTATTCCGCGTCATATTCCCTCATTCTTTCGATGTCGGGATCAGCTGAAGGTTTGGCTAATATGATACCGGCTCCTCTCCCTTCATCACAATGAGAGCCGTCGACATATAGTAACCAGGCTCGAGGGTTGATGTTTACGCGAGTAGCAGGATCGTCTTTAGGTTCCACAATTTCCGGGACGTCGACAGCTCGAGGCATTTCTACCAGGAAAACCACGATGGCCTGTCCTTTGATTGCTGCTCGTGGCTTGTACTCGATGTGGTGTTCGCCCAGTTCGACTACCCATTTCATCATCCTGCCGGAGGCCTCTGGCTTGACTAGGACTTGCTAAATGGGTTGTTCTATCAAAACCATGATGGAGTGTGCTTGAAAGTACGGGTGCAGGCATTGGGCAGCTAAGACCGGGCTGAGGATGAGTCTTTCCATGGGTGTATAGCGGGTTTCTGCCCCTTCCAAGACTTTACTGACGAAGTAGATGGGGATTTCTCTGCCATCTTTGCGTTGCACGAGCACGGCTGAGATGGCTTTCTCTCGAGCTGCCAGATAGATATATAAGGTTTCTCTCGGTTCTAGCTTAACTAATGTGGGCAACTGCTTAAGGTGTTCCTTCAGGTCCTGAAAGGCTTTCTGGCATTCTTCATTCCATTCGAATTTTCTGCCTTTGCGGAGGGTATGGAAGAATGGCAGGCTTCTCTCCGCGGCTCGAGAGAGGAATCTGTTCAGAGCTGCCAAAAAGCCTGTGAGTTTTTGAACTTCTTTGACGGTTTTTGGCGCTTCCATGGCTAAAATGGCCTCGATTTTTGCCAGATCAACGCTGATTCCATCTTTGGAAACTTGGTATCCTAGGAATTTTCCTGACCCAACACAGAAAGTACATTTTTTAGGGTTTAGCTTCATGTTAATTTTGCATAAGATCGTGAAGATCTCTCGCATGTTTGCAGCTACTTGCTCGTCTTTGTTTGTCTTTATCACCATGCCATCTACATAGATCTCGATGTTCCAGCCGATTTGGTCATGAAAGATTCTATTCACGAGACGCTGGTAAGTTGCTCCTGCATTCTTTAGTCCAAAGGGCATCTTGTTGTAGCAATAAACCCCGATCTCAGTGATATAAGCTGTCTTCTCTGTATCTTCTCGTGCCATGAGGATCTGATGATATCCCTTGTACGCGTCGAGAAAACTGAGGGTTCTGTACCCAGCGATACCCTCCACCATCTGATCTATGACTGGTAGGGGGTAACTGTCTTTGGGGCAATGCTTGTTGAGGTCAGTGTAATCTTGGCACATGCACCAGGAACTATCGGGTTTTCGCACCAAGATAGGGTTGGCTAACCAAGTGGGCTATAGAACTTCTCGGAGTATGTTGGCACAAACTAGCTTCATCGTTTCTTCGTTGATGATGTCATTGCGTTCACGAGCAAATACCCTTTTCTTCTGCTGCACCGGTTTGACGTTTGGGTCGACATTTAGCTTATGTTCCATAACTTCTCGAGGAACTCCTATCATGTCCGCCGGAGACCAGGTGAATATATCGCTGAATTGGCGTAGCAAGGCACTAACCTCGGCTAGCAATGGGTCACAAAGAGAAAGGCCGATTTGAACGGTCTTGGCAGGGTCAGTCTCGCTCAGGATCAACTCTCGTGTCTTACTGCTGAGCGGTGGAAGATTGGAGGTTTCGAGATCCTCCATCTGTGGTGGTATGGATGTTTGTCGGATTGAGTAACACTCCGACGTGACAGCACTCGGATTAAGGTGCGCGGTCTTTTTTCCGATTCTAACTGCTGTGAGTAAGCATTCTCGAGAGCTACGCTGGCATCCTTGTACCACTCCAACTCCATATTCTTTTGGGAATTCCATTACTAGGTGATAGGGAGACCAGACTGCACGTGCTTGGCACATCCAGGGTCATCCCAGAATCACATTGAACGGCGGGGGCTCGTCTATCAGAGCGAAGTCCATGGTTAGAGTGACCGTCATAGGATGCGACCCTACCGAGATGGAGAGGCTAATTATTCCTGTTGGGATAATGGTGTGGCCCGAGAACCCCATCAAGGGCATTGTGGCTGGGTGGATGCTAGGGTTCTTGATATTCATCTTCTTGAAGCAATCGCTATATATGATGTCGACCGCGCTGCCATTATCCACATAAACCCTTCCGGCTTTTACATTTGCGATTATTGCCTCAATAACCATGGCGTCACTGTGCGGACAGATATCTGGGACTACATCGCTATCTGTGAATACGATGGCCTCCGTCCCCTTGAACCTCTTGTGGCTAGGCTCCTGTCGAGGAGTCTTGCTGACGGTCCGCAACGAGTTCTTCATGGCCGTGGTGGATAAGACTTCGAGGGGAGCTCCGTAAATAGCCCCTACCTGGTGAGTGATCTGCTTTGTCGGATCCACTGGCGGGAGTTGCTGGAGTGGCTGCGGTGTTGCTTCAGTAATTTGGTGAGGTTGTTGGGTATTGGCTCTTGGTTGCCAACTGTTCCCTCGGCCATCTCCCCGCGGTGGGCCTTTGAAGTTTCTTTTAGGGTAACTTCGTGATTGGGGTTTGTTATTCTTCTGCCGAGAGGCTCCTTGTACGTACTGCTGAAACTTGCCAGACTTAACCCCGTTCTCGATTTCCCTCTTAAGTTCTCGACAATCCTCCGTGTCATGGCCGTGGTCCTTGTGATATTCACAATATTGTTCTGTTCACCTATTTGGATTAGGTGCCAAAGGTTTCGAGGCTGGTAATTCGTCCTTATGGATCTGGAGGATTTCTCGTCGTGGCTTGGTTAGGGGTGTTAATTGTCTATCCATCTTGGGCAGTGCCGGTTTGTGCTCCATGGAAACTTTTGATTTGTCTCTTAGCCCTACCGACGCAAAAGATTCCTGGGATGTTTTGAGTGTGTGCTCTTGTTGTATGTGGTTCTCGACAATGGCCCACATCTCTTGAGCATTCTTGGGGGGCTTAGTCGAGAGCTTGACTCGCAACATTGAGAATTTTCCAAAGGGGTTGAGGCCTTGAATGAATCCATTGCAAACATCTCAATCGTCAATGTTGTTGACCTACAAGGTTTCTAGTATGAACCGTCTATGGAAGTCGGTGAGACTCTCATGTTGCCCTTGTCTGATTGAGGAGAGGTCAATGGACATTCGCGATATTCGTTTACTCTGAAAGAATCGGGTAGCTAGTTTGACGGACAGATCCTCAAAGCTAATTATACTCCCTTCTGGTAATTGTCCAAACCGTCGTTGTGCTGACCCCGTCGAGTAGGAAGGTAGCGCTTTGGCCATGAAATTCATAGTTGCGTTTTGAATTCTCATAACCTGGACATATCCTTGCAGCCATTGGGAGACATCGGTGTCTCCTGAATACGGTTTAAATTCCTTAGGGAAGTCAAAGTCTCGTGGCTTAGGTTCATCCCGAATGTCAGGGATGAAGGGACTTCGATCTAATCCTATCCCGATGATATTCCTCATTTCTTCTCGGATCAAGACGTTCTGATCTCTTGCTCCCTGTTGATCTCCATGGAGGTATGGCGGATTTTCTCTATGCCTGTTGTATTGCTGATGCCTGGGAGGTGAGTACTGAGGACGGTGATGGTATCCTCGGTTATAATTGCCCTCAACGTTGTTGTAACCTTGATGTGGTTCGTGGCCAGGTTTATATTCATCTCTTCGAGGACTTCTTCGGCTCCAATTAGGTCCCAGGCGGTCGTGCACGTTAGTTCGCCTTGGAGGATTCCATTCTCCTTCTTCAATGACCTCAATACTCGGGGAACCATGATACTCTCGAGTACTTTTACGTCAGTATGTTGCATCAAATTCTTCGAGGGCCATTTCAAATGCTGGGTATCTTTCTCTGAAAGCGTTCCAGAATACAGTGTTCCGAGTGGCGATTGAGCAATCTTCGTGGAGGTCTTCATACCCCTCGACTTCTTGGTAATCTTCATTTTCTTGGACCTTCCGCTTCCCTCGCTTCTTCTCGAGAAGGGCTAGGGTTCTGCGAGCCTCTTTTTCGTCGATCAAATCACCCAACTCATGTTTTGTGGGATCAGGTTTTCCAATGAGACAGCGCCGCCTGGTTTCTTCGAGGACGTATCTTCGCATCCTCTGTTGTTGATCACTATCATCTCTTAGCTTCTTGACTTCAGCTTCGATCTTGGCTAGTTTCTGATCCTCCAAACGCTTTTTGGTTTCGAGGAGAAGGTACATCCTCCTTTTTGGGTGGATGATTGGCCTTGTCTTGCTTCTTCGGATCTGGCTGGGAAGAACCAAGGACTATGCGCTCTTTTGTTGGTTTTTTTCAGGTTCACCGCCCCTGCTTTCTTCCTTTCCTGTCTACGTTGGAATTCTGTTAGGGTGGTGTGGTCTCCCGGACTATGTCGTTGGCCGGAAGATGCGGTGCTACTGGTGTCTTCTTCAACTCTGACCATTGTGCTGGTTGTTCCTACAACCCTAGTTTTTACTGAAGATCTTAAAAAAAACCTGAGAAGGTTTTTGTGACACAAAACGTTGTTTTCGGGTCCCACTGGGCGTGCCACTTGACGAAGCGTGGATTCGCGCCGCCGGTCTAATAGTGGTACTCCGGCTAGTGTTTCCTGCAAAACAAAGCCTCGGGGGTCTCCCGAGGGTAGACACTCCGATACTTAAGTCAATAAAGGATTATCGGAACAATTAAGTGTATAGTTTGTTAAGCTATATTTGCGTACCTGTACTGAGATGTGATCGACCCTATTTATAGATATGAGAATCCCCGGGAAGTCTCCGAATCCTTTTAGGTTTATTCAACCTAAACCGCCCTAAGAGAGTCGGTTGGACTCCTTTCCCGATTAATGTGCCGATCTAGTCTCGGTGATAAATATAGACCCGTCAGAAATCAAAAGCAGAGGAAGAGAAAGACTCGTATGGCTGGCTGGTTATTCACCAACGTGGCAACTTTTCAATGTAACAACCATAATGCTCCAAGTTTAAATGGAATAGAGAAAGACGCTGAATTATTTCTAACACTAAAAAAGCTAGAACTAGAAAAGCATTCTTCAACAAAGTGCCAAACCATATCTTCACAATGTCGGCAGCAGCCATTGAACCCATTGACCTCATAGATTATGTTGTGAATCAAGGAAATGGAGTGAAGGGCCTTTCAAAATTAGGTCTCAAATCCATTCCCAAGCAATATATTCAGCCCCCAGAAGAGAGATTAGACAAAAACCAGGTTATCCATGAAGAATCAATCCCAATCATTGATGTCTCCAATTGGGATGATCCGAGAGTTGTGGAGTCAATTTCCGAGGCAGCTGGGAAGTGGGGTTTCTTCCAAATCATCAATCACGGAATCCCAATTGAGGTTCTTGAGAATGTGATGGAAGCTGCCCATAAATTCTTTGAATTGCCCAGTGAGGAGAAGAAGAAGTACTTGAAGGAAAACTCTCCTACTCAGACTGTTCAGTTGAAGACTAGCTTCAGTTTAGCAGAGAAGGTTTTGGAGTGGAAAGATTTTCTGATGCATTTTTACTTTCCAAATGATGAAAGTGTCCAGCTCTGGCCGTCTGTGTCCAAGTAAGAATTTTTCACTACCTTAATTTCTTCATTTTATTGTTTTTCAACTTTTTGCCCAATCACCTTAGCCAAGAATGTGATTTCTTTGTGTTGCTTATCAGAATTTGTGCATACAGTAAAATTTATATTACAAGTCTTTATAGCTATATGAAGTCCTGGATAGTTGAGAGAATGTGAACTTTCATTGGTTGAGGGAATCCGTATCTGCTGTTTTATTTATTGATTTATCAAGTCCAGTGAGTATGATGCTAATGATGGTAACCGTTTCTCTGATGAAATGTTTGTTAAAACACACTCGGTGAGACACTTTTAGTTGACTCAATTGAGCAAACTTTAGATTGACAGCACTTCTAGCCTTACAGAGATGGGTAGTTTTTGTTAGTGAATCCTTCTTGGCTAGCCATAAAGGTACCTAATTCAAACAGGGTGCTAGAAAATCTTATATCTCCTTGATTAATTGCAATACAAGGGTGGGAATTTAGCTGATCATCAGTGAATTTAAAGTGATGCTATAGATTGTGCTAAAACAGCTAAAGATGGGAAACATGATATTGCTGTTTGATACCTGAAATGTTGTGGTGAACAAATGAAGAGTGCATTTGAAATATAGACGGTCATAAGTGGTGTTAAAATGTATACTATGCATACATGTTATTGCCTGAGATAATTTTGTTGGGAGCTAGTTCCCTTATTGTCAAAACTGATTGATCAGGACTTGAAAATTCTGCCAAAGCTAAAAGTGACAAAACAGCCTATGATTGAGATCTTTGTGCCGACACATTTTCCTTTGTTTCTTAATTAACAAAGTTTAGTTATATGGCTTTTCCCGAATATGGAATCTGTTCAATTATGGTTCAATTGCATAAATATAGCAATATACATTATGCTGAAATGTGTTCCTCTGTAACCTAACCACGATGTATTGTGATTTTTGGTGTATTCTTGGTTACTTAATTGTGGATCTTAGCCTCTTTATGCTGATTCCGATCACCCTTTATCCCACATTGCAACAGAGATCAAGTTCTGGAATATGTTAACTGCGCAAAACCTGTAATTAGAAACCTTCTGGAGGTGTTACTGAAGGGACTTAATGTGAAAGAGTTGGATAAAACCAAGGAGTCTGTCCTCATGGGTAACCTCATAGTTGACCTTATGCACTACCCTAAGTGTCCAAACCCGGACCTTGCAGCTGGAGTCGGCCGCCATTCTGACATCTCAAGTATAACTATCCTGCTGCAAGATGATGTTGGCGGCCTTTATGTGCGAGGAACTGGTCCGGATCAATGGATCCATGTAACACCAGTTAAAGGTGCACTGGTCGTCAACATTGGTGACATACTTCAAATTGTGAGCAATGATCGGTACAAGAGTATCGAGCATCGTGTGATCGTTGATGAAAGGAGAGACAGGGTTTCAGTGCCGATCTTTGTCAACCCGGCTGATGATGTGCTCATTGGTCCTTTCCCAGAGGTGCTTCAGAATGGTGAGAAACCAATTTATAAGCAGTTCTTGTTCCCCGAGTATTTCAACTTCTTTTTCAGCAAAGGTCCTGAAGGAAAGAACACAATGGAATATGTAAAGTTATGAGTTACTTTCAAAATTTATCAGGGTTGGAAAGAAGCAAAATCAAATATCTTTCCCTCCATGGTAAATGTTTGAACAATGTAGTATTTTAAATATATTGCGAGAAACATAAAATCATTTTTAAAAAATGAAATATCTATGATGGAAAGTAACATCAGTTTCTAAATGAATTATTATTGTACGAGTATTAATAATAATGCAAGAGCACCAACAATCGTTACTTATGATGGAATCTATGAAGGAAAGAACACAATGCAAGTGCACCAACAATTGTTACCTTATTTGAGTATTGATAAGTTTTGTAACGTAGTTTTTAGTATTAAACTTTCACCTTTGTTAATTAATCAGGCTTCAGGGCTGTCATTTTGATTGTTCATTGTAAGAAAATCATCCTCTCTCTTGGGAAAGTTTTAAGTTTTAACCATCTATGCAATCAATAGAATTGAAGGACATTTAGGTATCTAGTTAATTGTTTTAAAAAAAAGTGCTGTTCTTTTTTGTTACCATCTTGGGGTAAAATCATTTTTCCTATTGGAATGAGCTCTTGAGTTTAATCACTCATATTAATCATTGTGGTATTTATAAATTAAAACTTACATTTGCTCCTATTTATGGATAAACGAAGAGAGGCGTATGTCTCCGCATGTTCCCCAAGACTATACAATTATGTTTCTTCTTAATACGATTTACAGACGTTGTCAAAAGGCTTAAATTTCCCCATTACAGCGTCAATAGGCTTAAATTTCCCCGTTACAGTGGGCGCTACCAAGAAAAAGCATTATGGAAGAAAATTTAAAAGATGGGAATAGGAGAACTAATTAATAAATATTATTTTTTTTAAAAAAAAAAAGCACGGGACAAGGGTACAAAACAAACAAACAAAGATTGAACCCAAAAATCATGATTTACTTTGCATTTTCAGTTTTAGTTGAGTTAGACGGCCAGTTTATAGGGCCAAAATAATAATAATTATTATAAAAAAAAAATTCAACCACTCACAACTTATGAACTAGTTTAAAAAAAATATTCATTCTATCCCAGAAAAATAGTCCACATTGAATTATTGATATTTAAGAGATTTTTTATTGAATAAAAAATATTAACAGAGGTTGTATGGATTCCTGAATTTGTGGATTAAACCAAACCTGAGTAATAACATAATTATTATTATTAAAGTTTTCAAGAAAGGTCATATTTAAAAAAACAAATCAAGGGGCATGCAGAATTTGGGCATAGCTTTAAGTTTTTTTTTAATCATTTTCCATAATAATAATAATAATAATAATAATAATAATAATAATTCAGCAGAACTGTCGGTAGACTTGCAGATTCTCCTACTTCAACAATTCACCAGAACTGAGATTAAAACAGCTTTTTTCAGTATTGATAGCCAAAAAAGCAGGGGCCCGGATGAGTTTAGTAACGAGTTTTATAAAAGAGCATGGGATATAGTTGGGAATGATGTATGTAATGCTATTCTAAAATTCTTTTAAAAAAGGAAATTGCTAAAACATCTTAATAATAATGATAACCTTTTTTTCATTCCACTCATTTTTTTCCTACTAACAATCATTATTCAATCGATGAAGCGTTAAATTGTTCATTTTGATGTAGTTTGGGGATTATTCTTTTGAGAAACATAGAGGGAATTAGTCTTTGATCCTTATTCCAAAAATATATTAAGCGCGTGCCAATTGCGTATACAAAAGCGCAAATACGAAGGCCGCTTTTTACATGACCTCACCGTTTGTGTAAGGGAAAACGCACCTTTTACATGACCTCACTGCTTGTGTAAGGGAAAACGCACCGCCATTTCTCCCCCTTCATAATATAAAAGGTTAAAGGATGTCATTGATATTCTCTCAAAAGGTAGGGATACTTTCGATCTTCGATCCAACCTCGGGGACGTATTTGATATTAACCCTAATATAAATAGAATCCCTACCGCTCTGCCTTTCGTTTCGTTCAGACCGGCCGTAGGAGAGTTGCTTCCCTTCCACCATTGAAATTCAGGTAAACTTGTTTTGCTATGCTTTCATGGTTATAAATGTTCTGTAAATCTTTATTCCTTTTCATATTTGTGCTTTTTTATCATCCAGTTTTGTGTATGATTGCCGTTAATTTGCTTTAAAGGTTTTCTTTTGGTTTAAGAAATTTTTCAAATCGCGTTAGTTTATGCTGAAAGAAGTGTTAATTTTACGTGGTTGTGGAAGAACGATTTATCTTTTGTACTGGATATGAATTATTGGATTTATTAATTTTTTGGTAAAAGGTGAATAATTTCATTGATAGCTGTACCATGTACATGCTAACTTGCATCTATTACAAATATTTACAACTGGATACCAAGTGTGCTAAATAATCTAACTGTAGCTGGCTTCCTATTACAGCAACAAAATTGTATTCTGGTGGTCAAAATGGTTTTCATTTCCTGAAATTTTTGCCCTGTATCCTTGCTTAGCTTCCTGAACTTCCTGTAATTCCTTTCATTCCATATAAAATATACTAGTATGTTTCCTTCCTCTTAATGTCTTGTTAATTTTCGCTCCGTGTCTGTTTATCTGCAACATAGTAGTATTTAATCAGGATGTTCGTCGTTTATCCTGTTATTTCTTTTTTATTCATTTGGAACATTCGTTTTTATGGTTTGACTTGGTGTTCATAGTATATGATTACTACTGCAACTCTGGTTGATTTTTTATTGAGTCCCTTGTTGACAGATATGATGGCTCAAGGAGCGGGAATGTTTACCATTAATCAAACTATAGGAAGTGTTTTGTGCTGCAAATGTGGGATTTTGATGCAGCCTAATCCTGCTAATATGTGCGCAAAGTGTTTGCGCAACGAGGTGGATATAACTGTGGGATTGCAGAAGCACGTGGTTATTGTGCACTGTCCTGAATGTGATAGCTATCTGCAGCCTCCTAGAACTTGGTTGAAGTTACAGTTGGAGTCGAAAGAGCTGCTTACCTTCTGTGTAAAGAGGTTGAAGAATCTGAACAAAGTCCGGCTCGTGCATGCTGAGTTCATATGGACTGAACCTCACTCCAAAAGGATTAAAGTTAAGTTGACGGTTCAGCAGGAGGTTCTTAGGACAATTCTTGAGCAGTCGTACACTGTGGAGTATGTTGTGCATGAACAAATGTGTGATTCTTGCACTAGGGTTCAGGCTAACCCTGATCAGTGGGTGGCTGCTGTGCAGCTAAGGCAGCATGTTTCTCACAGAAGAACCTTTTTCCACCTGGAGCAGCTCATTCTCAAGCATGACGCTGCTGTTCGTTGCATTAGAATCAAGCAGATGGATCAGGGAATAGACTTCTTCTTTTCTAACCGGAGCCATGCCGTGAAGTTTGTGGAATTCTTGGACAAAGTTGTGCCAGTTAGGCATCGAAATGACAAGCAGCTTGTGTCCCATGATACCAAAAGCAACAACTATAATTATAAGTATACTTTCTCTGTTGAAATTTGTCCTATTTGTCGTGAAGATCTCATCTGTCTTCCTCCAAAGGTTGCTGTTAGTTTGGGTAATCTTGGACCACTTGTCATATGCACCAAAATTAGCAACAACATTGCCTTAATGGACCCTTTTACTTTGAGGCACTGCTTCTTGGATGCTGATCAATACTGGAGGTCATCTTTCAAATCTCTGCTTTCTAGTAGGCAGCTCGTGGAATATGTGGTGCTTGATATAGAGCCTATTTCTTCTGAAGTTATTGTTGGTGACTCTCGGTATCTTTTAGCAGATGCACAGGTTGCTCGAGTGTCAGATTTTGGGAAAAATGATACAATTTTCAATGTGAGAACTCATCTAGGCCATGTTCTAAAACCTGGGGATAATGCTTTTGGTTACGATTTATTTGGTGCCAACAGCAATGATGTTGAGCTTGACAAATACAAAGGGTTTGTCCTTCCTGATGTGGTATTGATGAAAAAGAGTTACGAGGAGAAGCTGCAGAAAAAACGAGGGAAGCCCCGCGCATGGAAACTGAAACGTCTCGATATAGAAGTTGATAACTCACTCACTAGAGGTAGAGGAGATTACGAAGGCCAGTTGCAGGCTGAGTTTGAGAGATACCAGGCAGACATGGAGCAGCTCCCTGGAGAGTTGGCCAAATTGAGATTATATAAGAACAAGGATTACAAGCCATCTGAAATGGGATCTGATACTGATGGGGATGATCTTTCTGTTCCATTGGACCTGTTGCTTGAGGATCTTACTCTGCACAAAGAGGATGACGAGGACGATGACGAGGACGATGACATGACGGAGTGAAAAAATTTGCCTCTCGTAGTTGAGAATTTTGTATACAATAGAGTGTATGGTATTCCCGATCATCCATTTTTCCCTTTATACTTTGCTGGAGTTTGTTTCTTTTTAAGCCCGGTTCAAATTTTCCTGGGACTTATTAATTGGCTTAGATAAACTTCTTTTCTTTAGCACGGTTTTGTTTGTGCTTTGGTTTTGCTACTGGTAATGTATTGTCAGAGCTAAATATATGTGATGCACCTTCCGAACTTGATCACGCAATTCTTTTGTTTGTCCTGTGTAAAACTGGGAGACGAAATAGTAGAAAAATTTAAGCTAAAAGACCAATTGTACTTACTGTTTCATCGGGCTCAAGAGCATCAGCAATGCGCCTTTTGATCTTCCCAATGTCATCAGAAGAAAGATCAGGGGCATCATCCTCAACAACCGGTGCAACCACCTGTCCACGCCATAGCTAGCGGTTCGAATCAAATGACAAAGCAATTTGCTGTGGAGACCAATTTGGCAGAGAGCCCTTAAGGTCTATGGAAGCTGTGATGAATTGCTTGATGATCCTGATGTTGATGCTGTGTATATGCCCATCATCACCCACAAGTCTTCATTTGAAATGGCTGTCTTGGCTGCTCAGAAGAAGAAGCATTTGTTACTGGTACCGGAGAAACCAACTGCTGTGTGTGGAGCTTGACAAATACTAAAAAGCTTGTGAAATCTGGCGTGAAATTCATGGATGCCAGCATAGTGGTATCATCATCCCAGGACTGCAAAAATGATGGAACTGTTATCTGACCCGGATATCTTTGAACAAATTAAAGTGGTAAGTTCCATCCCTAGCTTTCTTTTCGAGTATAGTGTGAAGTCATGATTTTAGTTTGTTGATGATGCAATGTATTTCCTCTTGGATTATAGAATCTGATTTCTGAATTTAGGGCACTATGGATGAATTATGTGCAATGTTTGGATGAAGGGTCCTATTTTTGACCTTTCTAGTCAGGGACTCAGGGTTCTGTTTTCATTTGAGATATGCTGAAAACAATAAACACTGTTGCTTGTAAGATCATTCTGTCAGAGGAAGAAATTTGCCACAAAATATGAAAGCAGCAAATGTAACGTGGCTAGGAAGTTTCTAAGTTATCACCAACAATATATATTGGTCATAATGTGTTTGAACCATCTACGGTGTGTACGCAATTTTAGTCCAAACTACTTGAAGAGGCATCAGCTTCTTGTTTTGTGTATCCGTGTTGCATCAGAGGATTGAAGTTGCTTCCGACCACACCTATATCGGTGAAAGAGGCTGTGGCGTGGTTTGATGATGAGGTTGCTAGTATAACCAACCTCTCATCAGAACTGATCACTGAGGCTGCTCCATTGATTGATCACTTTAAAGCATGATTACCAATGCAGCCTGATGGGTCTGTCAAAAGTTTGTGACTGTGTAGAGCACAGCAATCCTCTAGTACTTTCTTATTAACTTCTGCAGCATTGTAAATTGGGGTTCAAAGTTTCATCCACCGTCCACGGATTGTAGATGCCGATCTCATACAGCTATAATCGCTATGAAAATGGTTCGAGTAATGTAAACTTTGATTGTCGATGCGTTTTGCAATCCGCTGCTTATTTCAAGGACTACAACACTGTCAATGAGATGGTATTTCATGAGGCACACTTACACAAAAAAAATAAAAAATAAAATAAAATAAATCACTTTGCCAATGAGATGGTATTTTCATGAGGAAAAAAAAGAAAAGAAAAAGGAAGAGTTATATTTGAGAAGTTTCCAATCATTGACGATTGTCCTTCACAATCTGGTAAATCAAAAATAACCTCCACCAGCCTGACAAACCTCCTCCGGATACAATTTTCTTCAGGAATAAAATGACTTTCATTATAATCCTTGAAAGGAGCAATGCTACATTCTTGCTAAAGCATCACTAAGCTTTCCCAACATTCTACTTACATCCTCGAATCTACATTTACTGTAACTACAAAGTTGCAAAAAATTGAGTGGTTTGTACAATGAACTCGCTGACTGGAAACAAAAGCAGCACAAGGCATATTTCTACTCTTTAAGCTCAGAGAACAAGGCAAACTCAAACTACGCTGGACAAAACTGATCTTAACCTGATCTTCCCTATAGAAACGAAAGTAAAAACGGCCTAAGCAATGCAATCAACAGGGAAAACAATGGTATTAGTAACTTCATTACTTCTCTTTTTTAGCCAATGATTCTCCTTTGTATTCACTGCCTGCAGTGACCACAAAACCCGCTCCAACCTGATTCAAACAGATACTATAGTTAACCAAACTAGATAAAACATGAGTGAGAGAGAGAGAGAGAGAGAGAGAGAGAGAGAGAGAGAGAGATTGCCTGGCAGTCCTTCAGAACAACACGATCTTGAAGTTGTACATTGCTACAGATAACAGCACCTTGGATGGAACAACCATCTCCAATAGTTACATGGTTCATAACAACAGAATTGACAATCTGAGAATAAAGGCGTTCATAACAGTCAGTTGGAAAGATCTCATCATTAAAGGCACAATAAGCACTTGATAAGATACACTGAAGGAAAATCTTCATATTAAAATCGTATTTACTATCACTGTCTCGGGGCATACTTCTTCATGAGAGAGAAATAATCTTTTGAATGCAGAAATCATCAAAATACCTTGACATTCGAACCTATCCGGCAATGACGACCAATAACAGACTTCTTCACACTGCATTTATCACCCATCTGTGAACCTTCTCCCAACATACATTGTGGTCCCACCTGCACCGAAGGAATGGCCTTGAGTTAGAAAGAACCCAAAACTTCAACAAGGACCTAAACATGCATAAGATGACCACTAGACGCAGCAACTACTTGGTCCAACTTGTCACTGGCAACACCAAATGACCATATACAGTTATATACAAACACTGCAATCAAACAAAACTCACAGTTGTTTTTGATCCAAGCACAGCAGAGGGATGAATAATGTTATTTTGCGCAGAGAATGAACAGCCAGAAAGGTGACTTGCATCCCCTATGACCTGCATAATTTGAGCAGTTATAAGATTCCTACAAACCAAAAAAAATAATAATAAAAAAAAAATTAAAATAATAATAATATAAAGAAAGGACATGCCAGATGACTTACATCACGATTGATGTCACAGAAAGATTGAATGGAATTCAAGCGCACACAATAGTTGGTCTTGCTGGCAATATAAACACAGCATTTATGGGTTTTTCTAGCAATTGGAGAACCATTGGGACCCAAGGCATACAACTCATGAAAACTTGGGGTGGATGCATTAGCTAGAAGTTGAGACAATAAAATTTTGCTCTCCTGGGAAGTATCTTGGTGGTTCCCGTTTTCATCTCCTTGCACTCCATTTAACGGAAATTCAGATCTCTGAAAAATCAATGTTATTATTGAGATTATTGAGTCATAGATTAGTTTGCAGCTCCTAAAGGCAATCACATTAAAGAAAGATAAGGAACTAAAAGATGCCTAACCAGCTGGCTTTTTACTAGATAAGGTAAAACATCCCGTCTCAGACTATGGAAAGTTTCCTTATGATTTAGAACCTCTTGCAAAATAGACCTGAAAGAAAATAAAGGATGTCATCATAAAAAGCATAATAAACTACTGAAACAAGTAAGATATTTAACTGTCCCATGGTAGCAAGATGCTAAACCTCGAACCTCTTGAAAGCGTACATATGAGCGTCCATCAAATCAGTACGAATTTCCATCTGCATGAAGAGGAATTTCTTAAGAGCTAGTTCACTAACTTTCAAAGTGGAAGCTCCTTGGACGATAAAATAGAACAATTAAAGTTAAGACAACAGAAAACCTAACAGAAAGAAAAGGTACTTTCTTTCCCTTCAACAGAAAAAAAGCTTTTCAAACACAAGCATAGCTAGATTATCTTTGGCCAAAAGTATCAGCCCACCAACCATTCAATATACTTCCCTACGCACTTCAAAGGATCATTACTTCCACGTCTAACTGCCACACAAATTAGATAACAACCACAACCCAAACTTTATCGAACAGTTCTAATGTACCAAGTCAACAAGTACATCAGGAGGGAGGGAGAGGATGATAAAGTATGCCAACAGGAACTCTTAAAAACAAATATTTTTTTACATTGGCACCAGCAAAGAAATCAGCAATTAAAGGAAACAAATTCTTAAAATAGCAGTTATCATAACTATGAAAAATGCCAAACAATACTGTAAGACAGAACAACCAGATCGCATGCAGTCAAACATTATAATGACAGTATAACAATGCAGGTAAAAATGAATTAGTCAGAAATCTTATTCTAATGATAGCATTCACGATTCACTAAGGCAAAAGCAATCTAATACCTGCCCTACTGCTCGGAGGATACTCTTCTGAACTCGTACATCTTTCTCAACTTCTAGTCCTACAAATTTTACACAAAAATCTAGTGAGATATCTCCCAGATGTACAGATGACATGAATCAACAGATGGAAATATCCCACCAGCTGCTACATGCAACAAGAACTGTTTTGAGGGGTCTAGTCCTATAATGTTATGACAACCAGGCTTTTTGGCTTTGTCTTTCCCTCCAGATGAACCTGATTCAATTGGCCCACTCACAGGAGTAGAGCAAAGCATTGCAGTGACCACCGCATCATGTCTTCTATGAGCAGAAGCTATTGCTCCAGGAGGAACATCACAAACAAGGTCCCCACTCACAACCTGTCAAATAATGGGATCTTAGCTCCTACATTATGAAGCAACACTAACACACATAAACAAAAACTTTAGAGAAGTCCGACCAATATATCGCTTGCAGTTAGGTGATGATCAATAGCTCTAAGAGCATCAGCTGTTCCGATGTCTTCAGGAACAGCTGCTACCTGCAGATGTCAAAAAGTTTGACGTACGTCAACAGCAGAAATCAGACATCGGTAAAGAAGAGAATCATTCACAATCAACAGACTACAGATTTCAGCACAATCAACAATATCAACCAACCAAGGCTGTAAGTGAATTCTCCTTTTGAATAGTTTGTTAATGAAAAGGGAACGAGTGCAATGAAATAGCTACATATATCGAATCCCATCAGACATTTGAGAAGACTTTTTCTTAAACAAAACAAAATGCATAATATCTCTTGAAACCAGTTAACCGGATTGGCAGAGGGAATATCCAGTGTAAGAAGATTCTCCATCACAGATAAACGGTACAGAATAACAAATTGTGAACAGGCATTCACGATAGGAACTGCCAGCCCATGTACTGTTAGAACAAGTAAATATTCAATGAAGAAAAGTTTCCAGGATATATCCAATGTCCAGTTACCATCAGCTGGACAAAAATACAGAATCCAAAATGATAAAACTGCAGGTCCTGTGCAATGAGAAATTGTCCAGGATGGACGTATATACAAGCTCTGAAGGTTTATATGTTACCTTTGTCCATCAGCTTTCTTAAGCCAGGTGGATGAGAAATTCCTCCCGAAGTACAAACTGGAGAACTATAAAGGCTAAGTTGAATACCAAAAATCTCTCAATGATGAATATTATAAAACCTTTGCTAAAATATCATAATAAGACAACTAATGTGTTATCAGTTATGACAGAAAGCCACCAGCCGCATACTTAGATGAGTTATATCATCATTAATTATGAACAGGTGCATTCCAATTTCCATTATAGTTCAAGTATTCACAGAATTCCTTAAAAGTACCCTGACAAAACAAGGTCTGCCACAAGGTATCACCACCTGTATATCACGATCATCATTATCTCCATTACAGTCCAAGAAGAGGGGCTAAAAGCTACAGGGCAGGATCCAAAGCATTGGGTTTAGCCATTTAGGAGAACGCATATGCCAAGGAATGTTCTTTTGAATACCATCCTTAGTTACATCTGCCATGATTTCAAACAAAGAGATCCGACTCTTGATATAACAGACATGTTGATATTGTCTTATTTTTATATTTTATCTTTTTGTTACACAGTCAGTTCCACAAATTTGGTCTGACACTCCTACGTTCGTGTCAGACCACTTTTGGAATCAAATCCTGCTCAAAATGATACTATTTCAGCTATATTCTTGCAGTTATGCCAAAAATGTAAATTGATGCTCTTGCTTTCCACTGCATACAACCACCCATATCAACAAGTTACACAGATTCACCCGTTACTAAATATCATTGCACACGTCCATCAATTCCTTTAGTTTTGAGGATGAATAGTTCTTCATGTAATAGTCTAACATAGTAATCTCATTTCGTGCATCATTATTTCCCAATCACACTAAGCCAGCATTATTCGCTGAAGGATAAATTTCTCCCCATAACAGGATTCTCACTGTTTCATCCTGCTAAAACGTCATATTAAAAGCAAACTGTAATGCATGTAAGGACCAACATTTTCTTAGCATATAGACAAGATTTCTTCATGGCAACTGGCAGACTCTGGACTTGGGACTAAAAGAGTCATACATAAATTTAAAAGAAGACAGACAGACTCTGGGCTATGGGGATGGATATCATAATTTATTTTCAAAAGATTAGAGCAAATCATTCCAAGATCTAACTATTCTAAGAAGCACATTACAGCCAGATGAAAATCTTAAGATTGGTCTTTTCTTTGTTTATTTACCGTAATAGGCTTAACCAATGTAATGCCGCCTTCTGAGAATTCTTAATACTTGTGTAGTAAAAAAGATATCTGCAGCATATAATCTCTTCTCCTTTTACTATATGAGGATGCACACCTTATAACCTTATTGCTCTACCAAATGCCAATTCCGGGGAACAAAGTAAATACTCGTTGCTCCTAATGCTCAGTTCTATCATTCATCTATATTATGCATATACAGAGATAATGCCTGCTTCTACACATAAAGAGGAATACTGGACTATCTCTTCAAAACTAAAACTGTCATAAGGACTCGTTACACGAGATATTGCCCTCTGATGCTGGAGGGGAAGGAGCAGGTTCCTTCTATTGAATTCTAATGTAACAGTGGAAATGCAACAATATGAACAGTGCTGATTCAATGCAAAAAATGAGAGAGCTCAAGTTGGAGTAAGTTTGCTAATTTATAATCTCTTTCCACTTGGTAATAAAGATCTGACATCATTCATACATCATGAGGATCGGATTGGTGCATTTTAATTGTTAAAAGAAGAGCTTACTAATGAGTAGAAACTAAACATTCTGTTCCATAGAAACAACATGAAAAAGAAAGCATATGGATGAAGCAAAAGAAGTTCGTCTACATGAACTTAAAGATTTTTGGATTCAGAAAGAAGCAAAAAGATCAAATTGAGCTTTGGTTCAGATGGTACATGGTTCAATTTTCTGGTCTACTCAATCCAGTTAAGTATATTTAGTGTAAGATTGAAGGTATAAGTACAGAACCCCGAAAAATTCATGGCATATTAACTGTACAGAAAAACAAACACCCCCCCCCCCTCTCAAAAAGCACAAGCTTTGATCCCTCATTTGATTTTAAGTCTCCTCTCTCCTGCAGTTCTAAATATCTTTGCTAGATTCTAAGAAGCAAAAAGTCTAGCCGCAGATTCTTGCCCTATCTCTCCCAATAGCCACCAACTAGCTTTGTTTCCTGAAGCTCTAGATAGTAGCACATTGTGCAGGCATAAGACCAACATTGAAAAACACCATCTCAGAAGAACTCCAAATTTCAAGTAGCCAAAAGAAACAAAAACAGTTAATGAAACCTATAATCACTCCACAACAAGAAAATAAGTACATATAGGTAAGATGAAATCTAGGATAGGTCCATTTTCAAGGAAATAATAGCTTTTCCTTCATTACTTTTTTATCATATTCCAATTTCGGCTCAGTCTGAGCTTTTTTTGACCCTCTGTCTGACAACACACGCACTCAGCTTAAAAGCACCAATAAAGAACAATCCATCTCTTATTTTCATCACAGTTCAAAAAATAAAATGCACCGCAAAGATCAGATTAAATGTCAGATAAAAGAAGTACACGTAACAGCTACAAGAATGATGAATCCATAGTCCTAACCTCCACATGAAGGCGATCAACATAAGCACCTGATATCCAACCCCCGACAAGTAGAGCCGCACTTTCGCCCTCAACAACCTATTCAAGAAAACACCAATATCCCAACAACCAAACAAAATCAAATTCAACACCCCGATAGCCATTTTCTCAAAAAAACTAACAGAAAACGGGGACATTCAAGAACTCAATACTCCATATGCAAGAACACAGAAAAAGACGAAATTAAAAAACATACAACGATGAGATCTTTGAGGTTGTTCTGTTCCAAAAGCTCCAAAACATAAGAAAGAACTGGGCGGTTAGCCACGGGGAGAAGCGCCTTCGGCACCTCCTGCAATCAAAGAAAACCAAAGGAACAAAATATACTCTGATCTTTCCCATTTCTCGCAACATCACTGAACCCAGAAAGGAAACGACATCAAAATAAGTTCGCAAAACAGCAAGACTGTTACCTTTGAGACAAGAGGAACAAGAGTTTTGGAGAAGCCTCCTGCTAACACCACCACCTGAAAATCCATTGCTTTTTGTCTGGGGTTTATGGGTTTTGGGAAGGAGAATGGGGTAGAGGAAAGCGGGTAATGGGTTGTGGTTTTTTTTTCCTCTTTTTTGCTTTCGTTAGTGAAAGGGGATTTTCCGATTTATTATTATGGCTTCGAGTGACAATATTACTAACAAATATATAGAAAAATTTACAAGAAGTTATAATCGTTGAATATTGATAAGTTTTGTGACTCTAACTCTAATTTTTACTTAAGAACTCGCATGATTTATTTATGAACTAACTCTAATTTTTTACATTTTTTACCAAGAAAAGAAAAAAGAAACTCTTAAGTACTACTTTTCCTTTTCATCCCATTTTAATAATTCAACAAAGTAATAATGGAATACATTTTAGCCAAAGGAAGTAATAAAATTTTTCAGTTCTAGTGAAGTGGTAGTGTTCGAGCAGAAATCGTCACTCGGATTGTGGAAAGGGAGAAAAAAATACCCAAACACAAAAACAAATCAAACGACTGGGGATGAGTTCGGAAACCGGCCTCGGACCTAGAATCAGAACTTAGGGTTAACTTCGGTTTAATAAATAATAAGAAAATATATAGAGAAGAAGTGAGACAAGCCAAAATGATGGCCTTGAATTGATTAAATTAGGGAGAAAGAGAGATATGTAATGCCGACTAGCTAGGGAGAACGTCGATAATGTGCTAGTACAAGAAGAATCGAATTCACTGAAATAGAAAACGATAAACGACTACCTATTTCAATGAAGGAAAATAGGCCAAAAATTATTTAAACTAGGCTAATCTATGAAAACATGAATAAAATACATGAATGAAAAGATACGAAAAAAGAAAGAAAAATGATAAAAGGATTGATGATGATGAGAGGTGTTCTGTTCTTCTTCGTCGCGCGGCTTCTTAAATAGAGGATTTGGAGAAGCCGGTTGTTGCTTGCTTTCTTGGGGCAAAATACTTTCCTTAAAAACAGAACTTAGAAGTAGTGTAGTAGTCCTCCACTTCGGTGAACGGTGGCCTAACAAAGATGGTTTTTTGTTCTGATTAGGTTGGCCATCCATGCATGCAATAACCTAATCAAACCCAATGTGATGTATTTCCAGCCAATCAAATCTATTCCTAGGTTTAGGAATCAAGTAGAGCACCAATAGGATAATGTAGCATTCCAATTACTCACGTGGTAGGCATTTTGATCAAAATACAATTTTTTTTTTAAGAATAAGTAGCTTCCACGTGATTCTTTGGCCACCAAAACCTAATAGAAGTAGGAAACTAATACAATACTCAATTAAGTCCAAATTAGTCCCCTAAAGCCTTGCTCAAAGTGGAAGCCACGTGAATGCTTAATGAGAAAGAAGACTAATCATCAATATAGGATCAATTGCGTGAGACCCTTTCTCAATCCCTGAAGAATTCTAAATCTACTTTGTAGCCAAAAAATACATATTTTTGGTGCTAACATAAAGCCCCCCGAACGTCAATATGGAGTGGAATGAGATGTGGACGTTGACTAGCACAATGTTACCAGAAATAAGCATTCGGCATGGCACTAACATTGATGTAAAACCAACCTGCTGGAACAACAAAGTAACACGGCACCCATAATGATTAAAGCAAGGTGCATGCTTACCTCGAGCAGATGTTGCACGTCTCCTTCGAAAATCACCTGTTGCGCCAGAACTTCTTGAACTGTGTCGACGCCAAGTATGGTTGCCAATATTGCCGCGACGAACCTTATGAGATTGCTGGAACTGACTCTCATGTGTAGTAGAACCATAATTCTGGCACTCACTATCATTCTGAACCTGAGAACTTGATGTGGCGCTGATGTTTTCAACTGTTTCATTAATCGTCGACAACTTACTAGCATCTACAGCAGAACCTTCTTGATCGTTGTCGGCCTTATCATCAATCTTCGACGCTTCAACAACAGACTTCTTCTCATGGTCGGTCTCACATTGGGTAATTACATCACTTCTAACCCTAGTTGATACATTGTTGGACTTAGTATCGACAACCTTAGTCTCAAATGCTCTGATTTTGCTAGGGCGCATTATAGAAGATGTAAGCATCTTCGACTGCTCTCTTGTAGAACGCTTCTTTTTTCGGTCAATCAAGGACTTCAACAACTCACAATCTTTAGCCAAATCAATCCTCCACTCTACAGCAGCACCATAATCCAAATAAGCATAATTACTGCCGCCACCATCAAAATCAATGCCGCGTAATTGAGGACCATCATCAACCTTTTTTGCAAAGTGAAAACCTTGCGGTATTGGCTCCTTTACTTCGCTTACTTCTTCTGTTGGCAGAACCCCTCTTATCATAAAGCCATGCATGATGACACTTCTGCTTAACCGGTGAAGAACCTTTTGCATCATTGACCAATTCGGCACTACTGTTGTAGCTTCGATTTTGGAAGCCATTATCAGAAACTCCAACTTGTTCGTCTGCTGCTACTTCTTTTGGAACATCAGCAACTGGGCATTGTGTCGGTTCAGCTGTCACAGATAAATTGGCATCAGGAGTTGCCACTTGGCCTTGCTCTTGCTCGCTCTTAATTTCGTCGACAGTTGGACAAACAAAATTATCAGTTGCAGGTGAAACATTGTCGCAGCTGTTACAAGTAATATACTCAATATCATTATCGCTGCTAGAAGACTCATAAGATTTCCAGCAATCAACCTTGACAGACTCGTTTTTAACAATAACAGGTTCATTAGACAAACAAAACGAATAAGTATGCACACAATGCTCAGTAACAACTATAGTTTTAATAATTGGAAATGATTCACTCACCGAAACTGTATTTAGTTGCTGCGACACCTGTTCCTCTGCAGTGACAAACGCTTGTTGGGGGGTACTTAGACTCTTTCTGCAGGTCTTTCCTAACCTTGCCACATTCAGCATCAAAATCACTAGGTAGCCCCTCGAATGTCGACGATAAATCTGCCACAAAACTTTCTTGCAACTGATCTGCTGTTGCAACTGAACTTTCACTTGCTTCTTGCATCTGCTGAGTTTACTGTACCACCTACAAATTCTGTACCTGTGGTAATACTTGCTCATTATATTGTACCGACGAACCCTGATGTTGGTGCGTCAATGATTCTACTCGCTGATGTTGCACCAACAACAATTGTTGATGATGCGTCGGTGGCAGAAGTCGCTGATATTGTGGCGACAGAATCTGCTGTTGCAGCGCCTGTATCTGAACTTACAGAAGTTGCAGTGACAAAAAATGCTACTACAGCGCCTGCATCTGCATCTACTGATGTTGCGGCGACAAAACCTGCTGCTGCAGTGCCTGCATCTGCATTTGAACCTGTTGTGGTCGCAACAAAACTCGATGATGCTGCGGCGACAAAACTTGCCGTGGTTTAGCCTGCAACAGAACTTGTTGATGCTGCACCGGTAACACCTATTGTTGTTGCTGCACAAGCCCCTGTTGCACCATACTTTGACCATTATGTGTAACCATTGGAATATCACCTACGGCCAGCCCCCCCGAATCTTGAGGGATCTTGCACCATAGACCCATCACGCCATCTGTCAACACAACTAGATTGTTGTTTCACACCATATTGACTGTAGAATTGAGGAAAGCAGCTATCAAGGGTAGCCTGCCATCTGATATTATTTTCAGTCCTAAAAGAATTATGTGCTACTTGTAAAACTACGGGCTGTTGAGAGATATGTCTACCAAATGGTGATGGACTATAAGAATATGAAGATTGGGGATTATTAGGCGACCTATCATATGGAGAAGAAGTATAGATCGGATCCCTATGGCTATTAAGACCATAAATATGACTATTGGAGGAGCCCATGATAACAAAGAAAAAAAGAAAGTTTTTTTTTAAAATTTTTTTTAAGAAGAAATAGAGATTTTAAAAATAGAGATTTTAAGAAGAAAGACCACCACGATCTAGGAATCAAACCAAAGCTTGTCCTACTGGACGTACCAATTTTTATGTTCGAGCAGAAATTGTCACTCGATCGTGAAAAAAGGAGAAGAAAAATACACAGACACAAAAACAAATCAAACGACTGTGGATGTGTTCAAAAATCAGCCTCGGACCAAGAATCAAGGACTTAGGGTTAATTTCGGTTTGATAAATAATAAGAAAATATATAGAGAAGAAGTGAGACAAGCCAAAGTGATGGCCTTGAATTGATTAAATTGGAGAGAAAGAGAGATATGTAGCGGCGACTAGCTATAGAGAACGTCGATAATGTGCTATTACAAGAAGAATCGAATTCACTGAAGTAGAAAATGATAAACAACTACCTATTTCTATGAAGTAAAATAGGCCAAAAACTATTTAAACTAGGCTAATCTATGAAAACATGAATAAAATACATTAATGAAAAGATACGAAAAACAAAGAAAAATGATAAAAGGATTGATGATGATGAGAGGCGTTCTGTTCTTCTTCGTCGCGCAGCTGCTTAAATAGAGGAATTGGAGAAGCCGGCTGCTGCTTGCTTTCTTGGGGCGAAATACTCTCCTCAAAAACAAGACTTAGAAATAGTGTAGTAGTCCTCCACTTCGGTGACGGTGGCGTAACGAAGATGTTTTTTTTTGTTCTGATTAGGTTAGCAAAACATGCATGCAATAACCTAATCAAACCCAGTGTGATGTACTTCCAGCCAATCAAATTCATTCTTAGGTTATAGGAATCAAGTAGAGCATCAATACGATTATGTAGTATTCCTATTACTCACATGGTAGGCATTTTGATCAAAATACAACTTCTTTTTTTTTTTGTTTAAGAATAAGTAGCTTCCACGTGATTTTCTGGCCACCAAAACCTAATAGAAGTAGGAAACTAATACAATACTCAATTGAGTCCAAATTAGTCCCTTAATGCCTTGCTCAAAGTGGAAGCCACGTGAATATTTAATGAGGATGAACAGTGACGGAACGAAAATGTTCAAATCTCGGGGTCGAAAATAGGATTATTCAACCGTCACCGGAGAGTCGAACTGAAAAAATTTCAAATAACAAACACCCTACTAAGAAAAAATTTGGCTAAATCCGACCAGCCGGGAGGTCGATCGACCACCCTGACCCCCCCTTGAATCCGTTACTGAGGAAGAAGACTAATCATCAATATATGATCATTTGCGTGAGAACCTTTCTCAATCCCAACCGAATTCTGACTCTACTTTGTAGCCCAAAATACATATTTTTAGTGCTAACAGGTAGAAAAAGATTTTTCTTGAAAGAATAATGGAATAATTTTTCTAAAATCAAAATATTGGTGGAAGAGCGTTTTTTGGCTTTCAGATTCCAACATATCATCCATGTCTTAGTCAAAAAAATTATTGATAGTCATAGGTGAAATAATTGGATCAAATGCGTATTCAGAATTTTGAAAATAAAATCAAAATTTAAAAATAATACTCTATCACTCTCACAAAAAATAATCGAACATTCTTAATTACTAATTTCAAATATGCCAACTCTGTATAGAGATCATCAATTTTAGATGCGTTTACTGATGGAAATGGATTCGTATATTTTTTTTAAAAAAAAAAAATCATTCCACAACTTTAATAAGCCATTGGAAATTAAATTTTGATTTATTTTTTTAAGAGTATGATCACATATAACGGTGAAAGGTGACTGAAACATGGTGGATATGATCATACTGGCTATTGGCCAATGAAGTTGGAACAATAACAAGTTTGATCAAAACATAATTTGTGATCTAAATTTCATATAGCAATTTTATTGAGAAACACCCAAAAATCCAAGTGATCAACGAATAGGAATTTCAATTTTTACTATTGTAAAATTTTTAAAACCTAAAAATTATGTACTGGGAAAATTTGGATTAGGGATGATGCACAATAATTAATAAAGAGGACATCATCTTTAAATAATTTATAATAAGCTCAATATACTTCCAATTTAGCTCTCCATAAAATAAATTCTTTTCTTTTTCTTTTTCATAAAGCCAATTTCTTTTCCTCTATTTCAATTTTCAACGGGATATATTCTTTTTTACAAAGTTAATGTATCATTTATTTATAAAATTAATGTAGAAAAGGCATTTATATGATAATAAATATTCATAATTGCATTATTTAAACTAAATGGTGGTTACTTTTTCAAAATTTATATAAAATTAAGATTATTTTTTCCTTGCAGCATGTTGATATATTTTTAAATTTTGATTTGTTTTTTTTCTTCCAAATGAATCAAACTTGTAAGAGTTAGAATCCTGTGGAGTATGTCTACAAGAAATGTAATCATTGTATTCATCTTTAATTATACTTTAAAAAAATATAATAGGCCAGTAAACTTTTAAATTAGTCAAAAGTAAAATAATATTGTTTAAATATAATGGTTAAACCATGTTGAGGAGGAAACCTTGTTATTCAAAAGTAGTACACTCTTTATCATATCATCCAAATTTCCCTTATCTATAAACATAGATCACGTTTTTGTTTTATATATATACATAGATCACGTCAAAGAGAAGTCAGAACTACTGTCAAGCCTATCTCGAGCTTTCCAAGATCTAAGATTAGCTATTTTGTCATTTTTGAAATCATGTTTCACTACAAATTGGCACACATGTGATTAGAAGTGGAAAGTATTCTTGTGTACTTCTTCCTTCTCACACATAGCTGTGGTAATTACTAATCAGGGATTTGTTGCACAAAAAAACTAGGTGACTAGGTAATTATCGCGCTGATATAGCATGGAAAATTGTCTCGAATCATGAAATGATAATGCAACTTAAAGCATCGGACATCCAGGCGCTTTCTTCTTTCTAAGCAGAAGCAATGACTTGTTTCCTTACTCCATAAAAGGCAGCAAATTTATTACACATATTCGTAAATATAGGGATTGTGAATTACTCACCACCAACCTAAGGACGGCATCCATCCCGGTTGAAGCTTAAACGCTAATTCAACTCATAATATTACTTATAGATAGTTTTACTTTTTGTCAGCTGATTAAAACTAATAGATTAGAGGTATTGGAATAACAAAATACATTACTTATCATAAAATGCGCTGTAATAGTGTAGATATTTCTAATTAATACATGTACCATTTAAAAAAAAAAAAAAAAAACTTGTAAGAGTTAGAAAAATCCTACCTTCGAGAATTTAACTAGAGTGCTTACTGAAATAAATTGAAAAGGAAGGTTTCAACTAGGTAAAGAAATAAGGTTTAAGTTGGGGATGGCCGTCTCATCCTGGCATTTCCTGAGAACTACTCTAATTCCCTTTGATCTGTTCTGTGAGAAATCAAACCAATATTGGGTTATCCAACCACTAATTTAGACAATTTTATTCTTATAAACTAAGGCTTGTAAATTATATTCATCACAAAAGACCAAAAACTATATTTGCTTGGACAAGCACTCATTTTACATTTTAGCTCATTTTACATCTTAAACACAAAACCTAATTGAAAAAAAAAAATATCATCCAAACAACTTTCTGAGTTACATTTTAAATTCCAACTTGAAACACTTTTTGTTAGTGTAATGACCATTTTTTAACTAAAAATAGTTCAATGACGAAATCTAACAAAGGAAAATTTTAGAGTGACAAACTTGCCAAGTTTCCGTTGTTTAGTGATTGTTTTTGAAAAAATTCTTTTTTAAAGTAATTATAATTAACAGTATTTAATTGTCTAGTGATGACTCGTACTTGATATTTTCAAAATGTAGTTCAAAATATTTTTTTTCAAAACCAACATCAAAACAACTTTTTGCTCAAAATACTATCCAAATGACATTTTTATTTCCCATTTAGTTTTCAACTTGAAACACTTTTCATTTTTAAGTGGTAAAATGAAATGTAGATATCGTCCAAACAAGTCATCTCTACCATTAAGAAGGTTTAAACAACCGGGAAAAATAAATCTATAGCCACCTCCGAAATATTCAGAATCCATCAGGTGAAGAGACCATTGATGCATTAGTTCCAAAGAATCATTCTCATATTGAACTGCATCAAAAAAAAAAAAAATTTGAATAAAATAATTTAATCAGATTTTTTAATAAAATTTCGTACAATCATGCTAATGATCCTAAAAATCTAAAATGTAATCTATAATCCTTTAAATAAATGTATAGTCCCAATTATTTTCACTTTTCCCTTTTTTTTTTTTTTGCCCTTTCGTGACGAGGAAAAAAGCCTGAAAAGTGCCAAAATAGTCAAAAAGATTGGTACACAAAAAACAACAAAGGGCTCGTGAGCCAATGTGACCTTCCCTTATTTAGGCGCATAGGTCACTAGCATGTGACACAAACACAGGCGGCGCGTCTGATCACCTCCGGCAGATCAGCCCCTCTGGTCCAATCCCCGGCGGGGCAATCGTAAATCAGCACCAATCCTTCTTTCAAACCTCTCTCGTTCCTCCCACCTCTCCTCAACAAGTCATCTATGCAACCCATTACTTGAATCAGCACCACCTTTTCTTCCCCCACAGCAACACAGCTGAATCTCACCGTGCTGTCCAGTCTCACCTGCGCCGGCAACGGCGGGCTCTTCATCCGGCACCATTCTCCGAAATTGGCACTCTTTCTCATCCCATTGAATCTCCAAAATGATACCTCCACCGCGTGGCTGGAAAGCACGTAGACGAATCCGCCGGCGGCGCAGGCAGCCACCACACAGCCGCCGCCCGGAACAGCCCTGCTCCTCAACCAAACACCTGCCGACACATCGTATACATCCATTGAGCTAGCGTAGAGATTCACCGACTCGGCTCCGGCGACGCGTGACGTCAAATTCGAGTACTCATTCTCGGAATTCCCAATCTTCAGACCCCCAATCACATAAAACAAGCCGTCGGCGGAAGCTCCGACGCAGCCATATCTCCTTCTCGGGCCATGAGACACCACGCGCCATGTGTCCTCAACTGGGTCGTACTCCTCCAACGCCGCCGAACGGGAACACCCTCCGGCGATGTATAATTTCTCGTCCACCACAGCCACGGCGAATTTCTTCCTCTGCACCAGCATTCCGGATTTCGGGACCAAAGTCCCAGTCCACGTGTCACACCGGAGCATCGCCTCCCGGCCGATAATGTAGATCTTCCGGCCAATGGCGGCGAGTCTAGAATGCGAGAACAGAGACTGCAAAGATCCGTGTCGCGAAACGGCGTCATCGGAGGGGACAAAAGACGAAACCCGCCAAGAAGAATCGTAATCCAAACGGTGGCTCGCCGTGAAGAGAGTCGAAGAATGAACGGAGATGGAAAACAGGGTCAGATGGAGGAGGTTGTGGTTGCGCCGGAGGGAATGAAATGCCTGTGAATCTAAGAGGTGGGCCCACCTGCGGCACACCGAAGGGAGGGAAGGCAAGGAGGAGTGGGGGACTCGAGAGAGACATTCCAAGAGAATGTCATCCGGGAGGGCGGAAATGTTGGTTACCGGGGAGGTGGCGGTGGCCGCGGCGGCGGCGGCGATGGCGGCGTAAGGTTGCGGGTGGTGGGGGTGATGGGGATTGGGGAAACAAGATTTCATGATCCATGAAAAGTGGCGAGAGTTGCAACTATCTGATGATGACGACATGAGAGGTTGGAATGGAATTTTTGGTGGGCGAAAGATCTATCTATATAGATCTATCTTCTTCAGGCTGTTTTTGAAGTAATAATGACAATGTGACAAATAGGAAAGAGAAGTTTGATCTTATTTAACATTTTATACTACCAATTTTCAGGTAAATTATCGTTATTTCAAAACAAAATCATAATGCTGGAACGTAATTATTATATTGGCAGGTTGTTAAACGCCCTAAAAATCTCCCTTCAACGCCCTGAATAAATACCAAATGACCATTTTACCCTTTACATGAATTTATAAATAAAGAGTTTCAATTTCATTCTTTCAATTCCTAAATCAATCTTTCATTTCAAATTCTCTCAATCCAAACACCTAAAAATCTTAAATTTAATGGGAGATCGAATTAAACGGCTACGAAATGAGCTACGCAAACTAAAGGTACGTAAATTTGAATTTGAATTGTTTTAAAGTTTATTTTGAAAAAAAAAAAAAACTCCTTTGCCCGGGCGAGAGAACAGCCAGGGCAACAGAGCCGCGCACGGATCTGCGCCAGGCTCTGTTGCCCGGCGCGGTTCTCCTCGCCGGCCGGGCAGCTGAGGCGCCTTTCTTCGCCACCGAAGATGGGGTGGCGAAGAATATTCTCGCCAGTAGGTTGAGCTGGCGAGAAAACCGGCACCGGCCGTTTTTTTTTTTTGTTAATTAATTTATATTTATATTTATATTTAATTATTTAATTATTTAATTATTATTTAATTGTTACTATTAGTAAATGTTTGTCTTATGAAATTTAGTTTAATTATTTGTTATTAGTGAAATTAATTAGTTATTTTTATTAGTTTAATTTATTTTGGAATTCAATTGTAGTTTTAATTTAGTATATGTTTAATCTTCAGTAAATAGAATAGTTATAATACTTTTATAGTTTTAGGAATTCAATTGTATTTTTAGGGAGTTTAACGGTTTGTAAATTAAATTGGATTATTATGAAAGTTATTATAATTACTATAATTATAGAAAATATATTTATTGGATTAGTCGGTATAATTGTAATTAGGCTAAAAAATTAAATATTTAGTATAGAAAAATTAAATAAATAAGTTATAATTAAAAAAATACAGGAGGTTAGTAGATAATTAGGGTTAATAAGAAATATTTATGTAGTTGTAAGAAAAAATAAATATGTAGATATTATTAATAAATTGAACACTTTAGATGTAGAGTAGATAATATTATAATTACATATTTGAATAATATAAAACTGTATTAAACTAATTAATCTAAGTTACGTGTAAAATTTGAAACTGTTGTAGGATGGGATATCGCCTCTTTAGGGATCTGGGCATCGGCATGCAGTTACGCGCAATCTGTATGCCGAACATCGAGCAGAAAAAGAAAAAAAGTTAAAGAAAGTGAAAAATGTACATCCTACGTTTGGCCCAGTTGGTGAGTTAGCCAACGTAGACGATGATAATGATGATTTTGAGGGGGAGGATTCAGCAGAGGATAGTTATGAGAGTGGGGGGGACGATGTGGCTGAGGAGGATGACACATCCTCGTTTTCCTCGTATGAGAGGAGGGATATACGGATTGGAGATACCTCAGTACTGAACCCCATTGGTCGTACTGTTGATCAGACTCTAGTTCACCCTACCCGGGGGGGGGGAGGGAAGACCCTTGTTGGATTATCGGCCCTGAATTCAGCTTACACTCCTGGTGGTTCCAGTGTTCGTCCTGGTCTACAGTACTCTTGGCGAGGTCGAGTACTACTCTTGGCGAGGTCGAGTACTACTCTTCAAGATGCATCGTCATCAGTACGTATTTGTAATAATTTAAGCATTCATTCTTGTTTGGTCAATTTCTTAATTGCATTCGATAAAGTATTTATACACTATTCGTTATTCGGGTTTCAGGTACTAGCAGACGGTCTAAGGTTTCTACCGAAGAAATTGATGATTGGGTTGTGACAGACGACGTACCTGGCGGGCCATGTGATGGGTCAGTGATTCCTAGTTTTCTTGGACACACTGCTTATCAGTTGTGGAATGGAGAACCACGAGATTACCTTACCATTAAGCCAGCGAAGAAGAGTTTATCTAGATTGCATGGATGGTATGCGAGGTTGCCGGAGAACGCACAGTTGCAGATTCAGCATAACGGTTTGTATCATCTCATTGATACCATGTATGATGACATTGACCTTGCGCTTGTTTCTGCCTTCATAGAGAGGTGGCAGCCCGACACAAACTCTTTCCACTTGCCGTTTGGGGAGATGACCATTATGATGCATGATGTGGCACACATTTTGGCGATTCCCCTTGATGGTGACTTGTTGATCCAACATGCGGAAGGTGAGATTTTGAAGATGCAGGTCGCAGGATTGCTTGGGATGTCGTTGGCTGAGTTAAAGCGTCCATGGAGCTACGGAGGTGTGAGCGACATATTGATTGAGGAGTGTTGTCGTAGGGTCCTCCCCGCTGTTCAGGTGCAAGCTTGGGTGTGGATCTTGTTAGCCTCGACACTCTTCCTTGACAGGAGTGGGGGCAGGATCAGTGCTTCGCTTATGACAGAGCTGCACGGAGGTATTGACAATATTGGAGAGTACTCCTGAGGATCCGGTACACTAGCATTCCTCTACCGTCAGCTTGGTATTGCTAGTCGAGCGGGGTGTACCACGATGGCTGGTTGTATGACCCTTCTCCAAGCATGGATATATCAGTATTTTCCATGCTTCCAGCCCTCCAAGAGGCGAGGACGTCGAGGTGTTGTTGGTTGGCCCAGAGCCCGAGACTGGACCCCTGTTAGCTATAAGGGGCCGAGGCCTATTCATAGTCGTCTCCAGCAGATTCGTACGCAGCTCGACGCGATGACTGAGCAAGAGGTACACTTTATATTTCATTTCCGTATATTGCGTAAGGGGTATTTATTTTTTTACACTATAATAAATGTTGCTAACGTTCGCAGGTCGAATGGGAGCCATTTGGTCGCGATCAGGCTGCAGCACATCCCAGGACCATCTTCAGTGGGTGGATTATGTACCACGACTTCCAGGAGCCATACATGCCGGAGAAAGTGCTACGCCGGCTCGGTTATGTGCGATACATACCTCGTGCGCCGCTCACACCGGTTACTCAGTTTCGCGGGAGAAATGCGCACAAGTATTTTGTTGAGCGTCCTAGTGCCGAGACATGTAACTGTTGGGTTAGATTTCCGGAGTCGGAGTGCATCAGCCTCAGTCATTGTGTGCCGGTATCGTCTCTCGAGGTAGGACAGCAGTGTAGATTACCTCGACCAGTACAGGAGCTATTCACATCCATTTTTACTGCCGGAGTCCGTACAGTCTACATCACGCATCCCAGGGAAGAACTGCACCACATACGTAAGTTCAACTCTAACAAAATTACCCATTGTTTAATAATACACGTACTATCATTAAGGGATTAATTTGGTTTGATTTAACATTTGTAGTGGATGCGTGAGATGGAGAAGTTGACTCGAGGTTGCATCGATGATTTGAAGAAGCTCGATGTGGGTGTAGGTGAGAAGTGGGATACTCGCCTGGATGATGTCATCTTCCGGTACAGTCAGGCCCCATGACATTCTACTTATGATGATTCTGTACAATTATGCAATGATTCTGTACTTATGAACAATATGCACTTATGTTTGTTTGCAATTTCAATTTTAATTTACGTCACCATCTGTGCTTCAATTTCCAAAAAAAAAAATAAAATATATATATACACAAAAGATCACCCCAGATCTTCAAATGCCTGTGTGGGTCTTATCCGAGATACCAAAGTTCGCCATAGCTGTAGTCTGGACTCAAAAGGTTCATCCCAACCAATAACACTACTATCACGATCATGCCTCCAACTGAGGTGAATGGGGGGAATCGGGAAATCACCCTGTAGATTGAGTTGAATGAAGTGTTGGTAAGGATTGAGGTGGCAAATAACTATCTGGAACTCAGGTCTTGTTGCCCCGCCTCGTGCGCTCAGTGGTAGCACAGTCCAACATGAGCCGTTTAGATTTTCAGCACCGCGGGTACTGAAGTAGTACACAACTGCATTGAAATATGTAGCAAGGGGATAAAAGTCATCTGTCGACATCCAGTGACCTAATGTGGTGCCTGTCCACCGTATACGCTCTAGGCTCTCAGCCCATCTGTCCCACCTACACAAAGACACAAGTATGAATGTTTTTTAAAAAAATAACAGTAAGACAATTGCTCACCAACATTAAACTGGTTGCATACCCGTAAATGTTCCCATATAGGCCAGGGTTATTTATAACCTCATCATAACATATCTGTCTGCACAAAATGTGATTATTCTGCCCGCCCAACATGCAACTCGCAAAGACACGGAAACCACAATTGCCGTCAGGCTCGACATCAAGATATGACTGAACATGATTGTGGAGTACCTGCGGAATCCTATTCTTGTGGCTAAACTGGAAAAAATCTATCTGCATAACATCTTTAACCACGTAACATAATATCATTGTTTCTGAATTATGTATTAGTAATTAAGAACAATATAAATTATAAACTTACCTCCGAGATGTGGTTCGGAACCCGACCTGTTGCCTCTACTGGAACTGCTGCTGTTCGTCTCACCTTGCCCAGTCCGTGGACCTGTTGTAGCATGGGTAAGTAATAAAGTAAAATGATTTATCACACATTTAAAAAGAGAAAGTAATATCGGACCTCTGTTCTGATCTTCAGCTCCCGACGTATGCCCTCTACTGGAACTATGGGTGTTCGTCCCTGATTTACTGGAACCGCTGGTATTCGTGCCACCCTGATTGCCGTCCCTGTATGCCCACACATTCGGTTTGTCTTGCCTTTTTTTAGAGATGCCCCTCTTCTTCGGTCTGCCCTTGCCTCTCTTTCCAACCCGCGGTTCATTTAATCCTGCTTGGCCCGGGTGGAGTTTGTTGTACATCAATCTGGTGATCTCGCTATATAGGCTCATCAACGGCGTTCAATTCTTCCACTAATGGCTGAACAACAATGCGCGAGGAGGAACATCATCCGAACCATCCTTCTCTGTAACCTCACCGATGTCAAGTGTGCTCCAAAATTGGTGTAAGTATTTTGGAGTTAAAATATCGTTGGCCTCCATTACACGCTTAAGTATACATGCACAAGGGATGGAATGAGTTTGTTTCAGGTAATGATTGCATTCCCAATATACATCATCTCCGAGTTGTTGCATCCTTTCTAATTTATTTTTCAAAAGATCCAAGCAGTGGTGTGAAACATTGCATCTTAATTGGTAGAAAGGGTACTTGTTGTGTTGCCTCCCTATTTTCTGCCTTGATTCTTGCAATTTCTCCCGGTACAGGAATTCAAAAAAATTAATTAAACAACCTAAACACACAAATTAACTAAAAAGGGATCGACAGGCCTGTACCTTATTTGCGTAAGCTGTGTCTCCAGTAACATATGAGCCCTGTGCCACACCGTTTCAAAAGAAGCATTTGGAATGACGAGCCATTCCTTTAACAACTTGTGTGCGCTCTCCACTCTACAGGTAGTGGTGTTGCCAAAATGCAAATAAGTGTTGGTCCATGCACGCACAAACTTGTGCGCCACCACTAACCATGTGTTCCTAACATACTGTAGAACGGCCTGAAATTGGATCCAATTATGCTCCAGAAACTGCACTCTTTCTTCGTATGCGTCTCTGGTTTCAGCTTCGATCACTGCTTTGAAGGCATTATACGCGAAACTTTTTGCTGTATGAGCATTTCCATTCAAAATTCTTTTCACATTTCTTTCAACATCCCTGTAAACATGCCACGTACACAATAAGTGATGTGAAGATGGAAATACATCATCAAGAGGCCTCATCAGTCCAGGTTCGCGATCAGTCACGATGACACTCGGATGCATATCTTCGCCATACAAGTTACGGAGCTGCCACAGCGCCCAATGGTAGCTGTCCCCTGTCTCATCACTCAGAATGGCATATGCTATGAGGAATGTCTGATTGCAAGGGGTCATTCCAACAAACTCCACAAGAGGCAGTTTATATTTGTTTGTGTTGTATGTGGAATCTACACAAACAACCCAAGGATACGTCCGCAATAACAATAAAGAATCCGGATGTGCGAAAAAGACGTGGGATAACCTCTGTGTCTCTTCATCGCACTCCGTGAAGATGATGTATTTGTGCTTTTCGCGACCTCTAACACCTTTCCCACTACGTCCATGGCGATGTGTCATCTAGAATTGGAAACCTCGCCTTACGCAAAAATTTCGTAGTTGTAGACTTGTTTAGCGGTTACCTTTTCATCGGGAAATTGTGTCCATATCGCCCGTAAAATGTGGACTGCCTTAGTCCCATTTGGAGTACTCTTTAATAAGCTCTTTTACTTGATACTCAATGGCCTCCGACTCGAGGTGGATCTTTCAATGAATGGTTGTGCATTCCCCACGGACCTGGATATACACGGATTGCCCACCTATCATACATCTTGTAAGTAGTAATACGAAACTGGCATCCGGTCATCTGTGTCTTTGTATTAGCTCGGGCCCGCACGTTTTCATCCACCTGTTCACCTTGGTACCGCCCCCCTTTATGACAAAGGAGTATAGTACTATTACCCTTATGCGAGGATATACTTAACACCATATTGTAGATGTTCGCAATACCCTTCGCATATTCAATAGCTTCCGTGTTCGTTGAGAAAGTCTCGTCTGTAACAAAAGCCGCACTATAATCGATTCCATCCCCCTGATCAAAACTATTCTGCACACACATATTAAAAACAAATTATATCATAACTTAAGTTAACTCTAACATTGTTAAACCACAATTAATTTCATATGAGTAAACATTGTTATAGAATCCGATATAATGATCTTTTACTTTAAAGATAATTAATATATACTAATAACTAACTAAAAATATTATTAATAAAAACTCATTATTTTAATAAATATTCTAATCCCTAACAACTATACGCATTAACATACAACCTAAATACCCATTTAACAAGAAACAAAGTATTTCTTACGAGCATACAACGTAATTAACATATAACAGCATACGTAATTAAAAAACATTCTCTAAATATCTAGCATAAACCCTAATTTTCTAAACATATATTAAACTACAAAACAAATACTCAAATAAACTAAATACATGAATTAATTAAATTTATTAAACTAATAATAATAATTTTTAAACTAATAAATATTAAATATATTAAAAAAAATTTTTTTAAAAAAAATGGTTGGCGCCCGTTTGGGCGCCACCAACACGGCGGTTGGCGAGCATTTGCTCGCCAACCATGATAGAGGTGGCGCCGAATATGGCGCCACCGCCTTCGCCTCCCCTATAAGGAGAGGCGAGCTTATTGCACGCCATTCCCTTTGGGGATGGCGTGTTTCTCCAGCGCCAGCCGTTAATGGCTGGCGCGTTTCTCCCTCGCCACCCCCCCATTTTCCCAAAAAAAAAAACATACCTCCATTTTCAGGGGCGTGTTGGTCTTTCGCGGGCGCTCAAATGAAAAAATAAGGGCGTTCAATAGTTCGACCCTTATTATAAGGCCGTGCTAGTGGCTAGAATCTAGTCTATTGAATATTCAGTCATCTAT